ACGAGCTTGTATCTTCTTAGTGAAGAAAAGGTCTCTTAAGATTAAATTTTCTATTCGGAATGAATTACTTCTTTTTTATTATACATTATATAATTGATATAGTAGAGCCTATAAAGATTCTGGTCAATGAAAATCCAAGGAGTTAAAAATTTCTAAAGCATTACAATTTGTTTTTTTTTTTTTTTCAGTGTATAAATTTTCAATTTGTTCAAGATCCATAGCAACAACATTGTATCAATGATTATTTTGTTGTTGCTATTGTTTTAAATAAGCCACATCGGCCCCGTTCGATTTCATAATCACACAAATTATACATAATTTGATATAATCTGATATTTTGTTTACGAATATATGAGGATAGAAAGGTAAATGCAATTTGCAAGAGATAAAAAAGTGACTCGTGCTTAACTTGATATAAAAAGATTTTATAAAAATATTGTTAGAGTAAAAGAGACAAACAAAAATAATACACAATTACATGTTTACGATTTATTAAATGCAAGATAGACAGACAAACAGGTAAGAAAATGATATTTTCAGCTGTGACCCAATCTCCTATACCTACTACTCATATTATCTGAGAGAAAATGTGAAAATTGAATGGGGCGTGGTCGTCGAGATTGTTATTTTTTTTTTTTACGCTGTTTTTATATAAGTCAAAATATTCACTATCGTGTCGGCTGTAGTTTATGGGTAATGAAGGAAAAAGAAACCCCAACTTTTTTGCTTTTGAAAACAGAGCTGCTCTCAGTTCATCTTGTACTGTCAGCGTGCTCCTTGAACCACATAGTCTATTGTCAACATCAACTAGCGTGCAAATAATTTTCAATATTTTTACGACCGGGATAATGTTTACCGCAACACAGACACACAGACGGGCAGTCAGATACGCCTTGATCAATTTATGGCCGTATTCTGCGCAACGTCACAAGTCACAAAGCATTTTTTTCTGTTTACTTTACGGGACTTAACGACCCGATCTTTTATAATGAAACTGATGACTATTCCTTCGGAATATTAAAATTGATACAAAATTAATGAAACTATAACAAGAATAGATATTGGTTTCTGTTATGACTAATCTCCGATACCAAAAATAGATTTGCTATAAAGGAATCTCCACCAAGCAGTACGGTAAAGATAATAAAATCTCGTATTATGGGTAATCGCAAACATCATTGGTCTACGAATTTAGCTCCTTTCCCTCACCGCCGAACACAACAAAACGTTCTGCATCTACTGGCTACGGCTGATGTCTGACATCACTATCATTTTTATCCTAATAAAATCCAAATGATTCTATGAAGACAAAACGAAAGCAATGCCTTGTCCTACTCAATTCGTTCGAATTTAGAATTTGATACTAATTCAAAATATATATATAAATTCAAAGATATGGTGTTTCTGCAAATTGCTTCTGCAACGTTTGCAACGTTTTAACAAAATGAATATACCCGCAATTTTCGGAGGTATATATAAGAAATAAAAATCATTAAAAATATTCAATTAGCTGCAATTGCAACAAATGAATGTTGCTCAGAAGTGGTTATCCTTCGTATATGAACATCTAAAAAAATGTTCACATGTACTTTGCTCAAAATTTGTCTCCACGCGAAAGTCAGCGAATTAATATGAAAAAAGGAGAAGAAAATCAATAAATAAATGCAATAAAGAAAACAATTTTTTGTTTTTTTTTTAATGTTTTTTTTTTTTTTTTTTTAATATCTTATTAAAACAATTTATGGTAACAAGTAGCGGTGTAGCGTAAACATCAAATTTTTCAATGACTTTTAAACTTCCGGTACAACGTATATTAGCTCACTTTTAAAAATGCGTAAACCTGCAATTTGCTAAGCTTAATCACATGAGAGCTTAACTAGTTTCGCGTTTTCTTTTTTATTCAATTGCTGTCAATTAGTCTTAATTTTTCTCGTTACATTAACTATTCGCAGTTCAGGAGGGCTTTTGTAGTGACAACGTTTTTTTATAAATTCATTCCTACTTTTTCATAAAACGTCGTCATCATTAGCGTATGCAGCGCATTCATGGCTATGTATTGCATTGAACATGTTTATTCACTGAAAGGATAACGAACGCTTTATTGACTACTTTTGGCAGTTTTCCTTGAGTGCAGGCATACAATAGCGATTATTCTTCCGGAATTGCGAGGTTCGAAACTGAGTTTACTTTTTTTACACGATACTTGTGGTTAAAAAGAATTCCCTCCGAAATTCATTAATTTTGATCAGCCACAACCCTCAGGTCCACTCAAATGTCAACGTGAGCTAAGCTTAGCAAACTTAATTTACTTGTCAGAGATTTCATTATTTTTCAGTTGCTTCAATTATAGCAAACCACAAATTAAGATTTGTCGCCAATGAAAAATTTGCTTTCATGAAAGCCTCTACGTATGGTTCGGTCCAAAAAATAAATCTATATGATTGGTTGATTTACTAAGCACAAATTTTTATTACAATATATTAAAAATGAGACCATTTTGGCATATACAGTCCTATTTCTTATTAGAAGTCTTATAGATGAAAATTATTCCGAATCGGTCGGGATAAGAAAAGATGGATCTGTCTCAACCTACCTTCTGGAGATTAAAACCGTGCTCGGATTCAATCGTCAGTACGGTAGAGATTGATGTGTAGTCGCGGTCGCAGTGAGTGCTCGAGCGATAAAGCCGTAACACTTACCAATCACGCACACGCATCCCAAACTGCGACCATTGCCTGCCTCTCTCTCTCTCCACGCTTCTTTTGAACTATCATCGGAATACGCATATATGGGGTGCTTGGTCATAACAAAAAGAAAACAAACAATTCGTTTATGCTTCCTTTTAATCAGTCTCCTTTTTCTGGCAGTTCGTCTTCTCGCCTTTCATTGTACCATCATCATGTTTGCAACATTCAAAATTATCCTTCAGAGAGTCTATACAGTATAGGTGTTCTTGATCAGCGCAGAAATCTGAATTGATTAAGCCGTGTCTGTCCGTCTACGTGGTTTGTGTGTCTGTGTGAGTGGGTGTTGTTGACACTCTCCTAATCGTAAAAATGAAAATATCGACTTCAAAGTTAGCAGAAACAGAGGACGACTTTACACGGAGGTTGATACTCAAAATGGGCGAAATTGGTCCATTGAATTAAAGTTTAATCAAGATCAATATACTAATGAAGCATGAATACTTTAAGTGAAGTGCAAAAATTCCAAAAAAGAAATTTGGTTTCACGAAAATCATATAACCTGATATTAAAGTAGTGCACCGGCCAACTAGAAACGCTTACACTACGATTTGTTGAATCGTCTATCTTATTTACCCGATTTAGATCTCTCTAAGGCTTGCCATCTATCCCAAATTTCAATAAAAGTTTACGCTTGTAACGTCTTTCACCAAATAAGTGCTTAGAGCCTTAGATGGCTGTCCTAGAGTCGTCAAGAGAAATCACTTTAGGAATATTAAGTTTTAAGAAAACTATGCTGCAGACCAGTTGTATTTTAACGGATCAATTCAGATTATTTGATTGTTAGTCAAAGTTTCAGAATCGCTTACATATTAAAATAAATCTTACGATATCTATTTAGGAGAACTTGACTTAGCAGTTTTGAAAAAATTCATTGAACAGTGTTTTTTGAAAACTGTTGAAAGAATGCAAGCTCTGCGAAACATTGTCGCTGACATATGTGCTATGATGATGTGATGACAATAAAACACAAACACATTATAAGAGATAATAAAAGTGAAAGAAAGAATTTTTTGTAAATTGTTATAAAAAAAGGAGGAGACATCGTATTACATATTAAAGAGCAAATTTATGAAATTTGTGCAACAATATTAAGATATATATGTATATATATATATATATATATATATATATATATATACATATTGGCTAAAAGTCCACTTTTTATTTTGGCCAATTTAAAATCCAGTTTATAAAACAAAAAGTTTTTTAATTTGTTGCTCTTTGATTTTTTTTTTTTTTTTTTTTTTTTTGAGAAAATGGTGTTAACAGTAGCAGTTATATATATATATATAAATATATATATATATATTTATATTTATAGACTAGAGTTTAACCAAAACCCCTAAGAAATAAAAAGAAAAAGAAAACAAACGTAGTCATTTTATGATGATGTTTGTATACTTGTTCTCACACATGTATCGTGCATTAAGAGCGTAATACACTCGATCAGAGGTTCAAGTGTTCAACTTTCGATTTCATTATGAGCTAGAAAAACCAGTTTAAGCTTTCACAACTCAAAAGTTGCCAAAAAATCCTAACGTAAAGAAAAACAAAAAACAATATATTTAAAGAGAGAGAAACAATGATTTCATTTCGAATTCTCCTTAGCTGATTTTTACTCTTTAAAGCCGATAAGAAAAAAAAAAAAAAAAAACCAAAACTTAATAGCCAGGCGCATGGCTTTTATTTTAAGCCAATACGCTCTTGAGGTGTTAAGAGATTCTCAGTTACTGCTGCGCACAAGAGGCGCATTCAGAAGAAGGCGCCACGAACGGCACTAGATAAAAAAAAAAAAAAGCCAATAATAGTACGTCGTTGCCCAGCATAGCAATTGTTTATGTTTAACTAAGCAAAATTTTGAATCTTGTATGCTATTAACTTATAACTTAACTAAAACATAGTTTATTATTATTATTGCTACTGATGTTTTTTTTTTGTTGTTGTTATTGCTACCGTTGTTTTTTTCTTTTTGTTGTTTATCATCGGCTTAGCAAAATGAAATGATAAAGCTTTAGACAGTTGAGGTGCGATAAAAATACGTTAGTAATCAATTGCAACTCCAACAGCTTAGACACTCGTCGTCTGAAAACGCGTCTAGTCTTTCATTATATAATACGTGATCTATGGTTTTGTTTTATTTTCAAAATTATATTTATATATAATTGCGCTCCCCATTGTAACTGAGAGTTATTTATATATACAGAGGATAAATTTAATATATTCCATAACAATAATAACAACAAAAAGAACAACAACAACAATAATAATAACAGCAACAGTAACAGCAACAACAAACAGCAACAAAATTTATTATTAACACACAATTTTTTATAGTGCTGTTAAAAAATCGTACGTGTCAAAATTTCCTTGTGGGCTTTAAACCAAACTTTTTAAATGAATTCATTCAAATACGAAAAACTAAATTCATGTTAAAGCGTCCCTGCGCTATCTTTATCTAAAATTTCCTCAAAAAAAAAACAAAAAAAAAAAAAAAAAAAAACTATTTGCAAAAATATATCAAAACCTATATCAGTAAAAAGATATATAAATATTTACATTTTATTGAAAATCAAAAAAAAAAAAAAAACTTTTTCTGTTTTCTTTTTTTTTCTCCTTAAGAAAGATCGTTCAAACAAATCGAAAGTACCATTAATTCTTTTCCTCTTGTATTTCGCCATTGTTTAAATTTTAATTAACTTTAAGTAGTTTTTTTTTTTCTTTTTTTTTTTTTGACTGCAATAATATTAAATCAATGAATATGCTTTTTTGTTATGTGTGTGTCATTGTAGATTGATTTACCTAAAATGTTGTTGTGTAATAATTGTTTCAATAAAATGAACGCAACAACGAATTAAAAAATAAAAAAAAAAAGCACTATTTTCTGAACTTTTTTTCCATATTCAATATTCAAGAAGGACGTACATTGAACTTTACACCTGCATATAATATATATAAATATATACTTATATGTATATATATATATATATCCATATATACGTAAGGTAGTATAAGAAACAGTGAGCCGCCACATAACATCATTTGTTCGCTTCACTCATATATCAGTCAATAAAAATCGTAGGATGACCTATACTTGTCGCCACTATTGTCGAATCCGTAGCAAAAAAAAAAAATATGACAAAATTTCATGGCACTTTGACTATTCGCTCCCAATTTTACAGGCATCTAAGTGGCGCTGCTTTTGTTTTTGTAGCGCAATGGAAAAATTTGAATTGCGTGAGTTGATAAAGAGAGCAGTGTTGGCAATGGCTTGGCAAGTGTTGTTTGGACTCGATTCCATCAAGACAAAAGGCAGAGAAGTGATTTATTAATTTTAAACGCAGCCGTACAAAGATCAATGATGCCGCACGCTCTGATCGCCCGGGTGCGTCATATGTTTCAGAAAAATAAAAAAATAAAATACACACAAAATCGTTTTGGAAAATCGAAACCCAAAGTTTCTTGAGATAGCTTTCATGACATGAGAAAACTCTGCTCGAAGTCGATACCGTGTTGGCTCACTCTTGATGAAAAACAACAACATGAGAGAAATCAAAAGAATTTCTTCATGCGATATATGGCAATGGATGAAATATGGATCCCATAGCTAGATTTCAGAGTTACATCGGGCGGTCAGACACCTGGACAGCAACCCTGTCGAAAGCGACTAAAAGCGCAAAAATCGACTGAGACGATGATAGTGTAGGCAGGTTAGGATGCAGGTGGTATAATAACCATAGACTAACTTGAAAATGAGCAAAGGATCGACAATAAACATTAGATGACATTGTTAGCTCATTTAAATGATAAAATTACAAAAAATCCTATGAACTTATTGAATGATATTCTATGCCTGGCGTAAAGCTCAAAATTTCCATACTACCTAATATAACTTATATATTTACATATACATGCATATATATATATATATATATATATATACATATGTATTTGGATAAAACCATATTTACGCAATGCATTGTTTTTTAAACGTTTTCGGAAGAAGTGTTTTTTTTTTTTTTTTGTTAATTTTCCTTAATTACTTTTCTATGTACGCTTTTAATGATCAAGTAAATATAAGTTTTGTTTTAAAATTTCAAATAAATCGGAAGAATGGGAAAGAAAGATAGGGTGGGTAAGAGAGAAAATTAGCAGTTTACGAACGTTTAGCAAAGGAGAGGGGAGTTTATTTATAAGTTAGAAAACAAATTATTAACGTAAATAAATAGTTTCTGAGATGCAGGGAGCTTGGCGGGAATGCAATTATTGTTCATATTAATAATAGGCAAATTCGTATGTCCATCAAATGTGGGGTCAGAAAACATGTGACGAAAGAGCCTTCGGTGTCGGCTCAATTTTTCATAAAATCAGGCATAAGCAAATTTTCATGACATATATAATTTAAGGTTGGAAGATAGCAGCGGTAATATTGTCATTTAATCTTCGATATGTCTCTGGTAGCAGGTTTTTTCGCCTTCAAATCTCAAAATGTTAAACCACGAACTTTAACGACACCTTTTTATTACCACTTTAAAAAATTTAAAAGTGCTCGACAAGTAAATTTACAATGAAAAACAGTCTCATTAGGAAGATCTCTTTCAATAGCAAATTTTCCATAACCATACTCTTTGCGGCTGCCAAGCGACAACTCTCAATATTTATGTCACATCAAATGCCGCCTTTCTATAGTTTTAGGTCATCGGTCTTATAGTAGATGCATGATCTTAATATACGTGAAAAGTTTCACGGCTAAATTTAACTCTCTCTGAGACGTTCTAGGACTTGAAAGCACTACGAAGTGGAACTTGTTTGGAAGAAAATTTCACCTGCCACCAATCATTTGCTAAAACTGATCAGCATCTTTAGTTCTGTGAAAAACCCAATCAAAGAAAATTTAAAGAACCGTGTAAAAGAAATTAATTGGTTTTCTATTACAGAAGTACTTAGAGTCTTTAAATGTTTACATTCAACAGTTTTGTGATATACTATACCGTAAAAGCTTCGTATCGTTTCCTAAAATCCATCAAAATTTATTGATTTTAGTCCATTGTCTGTGGTCGTCAAACCTTCCATTTAGGCCACATCACCAGCGACTGGCCAAATGAAGATTGCAGACAACAATCTTTACCTCACTTCCATCGTAGACAGTGTACAACTTTTTGTGAAAGCGCAAAGCATTTTTGGCTGAATGAAACGCAACGTTTCCTTTCGTATTCGAAATGTAATACCTAAAGAAGTGGGTTCCTAATTGATGCTCTTACTCGTTTAACATAATCATTACTTGCTCATAAGGGTAGCAAAAATTGTAGCATACGCTTAATATCCAACATCCCATGGGCAATGGCAAGAACTGCGATAGTCGACTTACGCCTTGAATTTGTGTAATGGGTTTTTTAGAACCACACTTAATGGATAACATAAAGTCACCGCCAATAATAGCAATCATCCGTTTGACGGACATTCATCAACGTATATACCCGTTCAAGTTGTTCGATGAAACAATTAATTCGTGGATCCTTGGGAGCTTTACAAAGAATTTACGTTCACCAGACATTAACTTTAATGTTCAAAAAATTCCCATCAGAGTTGTTACAGCCCATATCGTTCCTTGATTAATTGCTAGACTATAAAAAGTCGAAAGATCAAGACAGATTAATATATATGTCATCACAAAAACGAAAAGAGGAACAAAATACCCTATGCCGGCCGATCAAATAAGATTATTAATAACGCGGATTCCCTTCAACTTGTAAATAAATAAATTATATTCAGCTTAGAGCGAAATCTTTTCAAATCCCTTCTAGATTATTTTGAAAGGAAAAAAGGATCGACTAACATAATCCTCTACACATACATAACATAATACATTAATACTTATTTAGGCACAACATTAATTAAGAAGTAAAAAATCGCGTATTACTTAAGTTATTATTATTATTATTAATTTATTACGTCACACTAATCAAGTGAGTACGTCATCTGGCCCGCCATTTTTATAGATGGGTTTCTGATTAGCAAATGTTGGCTTTTGCGCCGGTTGGTTTTCAAAGTTAACCTGAGTATTTTAATAGGAAGAAATTTTGTTTAACAAAATCATAGTAAAAAAGAGAAAAGTTTTCGAAAATTTTTTAATCGAAGGGAAGTCCTTGGAGGTGATTAGTTCTTCTACCCACAGTAAAATGAAAGAACTTGAAATCACATTAGTCATACTAAAGTGCTTTTCTAAATAGAGAGTCTCATACAAGTTATATTTGTAGCTTTAGCGTTTCCTCTCCGTAGCCTATAATATAAGGACTTCTTTTTCTTAATACACTTCAGCCATATCTACCAACACATCCGCCAATCGTTTTAAATTGGAAATCCCAAAATTATAGAATAAAATATTCAAACCTTCGTAAATCTTCTTTACCCTGTTTATATTCCTCACAATTTGTAGCATAAGGGAATATTAAGCTTAAACGGACTTAAGCTTAAGTCTAAAAGGACTTAAGATAGATCCGCCTTTTACTATGCCAATCAATTCAAAGTTATTTGCGTTTGTAAGTTATATAGGTTTTGGGGGAAAAAACTAATATTTCGACTCATTATAATGTTGAGTAGCCATGGCCATGATTCCATTTTCCATTTTCGCAGACGTACTACAGCATTGCTCCATAAAATATATACCCAAATTTTTCTAGATTTTTCTGCAGTTTACGAGTAATGACCGTAAAGTTAATTTTTTTATTCCTTTTGAAAAGCACAGGTATCCCCACTTTACGTAGTACTGTACACGTATCCTTCGACCGATTGTGTCCATTGCCACTATCAATCTTCATTCACGAACTTCCAATGTTTCCGCCAAATTTGAAATCAATAACTTGATTTTCGCGGTCAGGAGAATGTTTACAACAGATATTAGACAGACGAACAACCGGACGGCCGGACATGCTTAAATCGTTTCAGAATTTTATACTGACGGAGAATATATATACTTTGTGAGGTTTCTAAGCCTTCCGTTCGACACGTGGCAAACGTTGCATCCTTTCTATTAAACACCCTAAACCACTTTGCTTAATACAATTTCTTTATAACAATTTTTCATTGTGAAGCGATAAAGTATATTAGTATAGCGATAGTCTTAGATGCTGGTGCTTTACAACTTTAGTCTTAGAATTTATTTCTCTAAATTAATAATAATAATAATAATAATAGTATGTTAGCTAAAACAAGAAGAAGACAATTTTTAAGAGGAATTTAGAAATCAAAAGTTGTCTTAAAGTCTTTCTTTCACGACACTAATACTATTCCTTCCGATTGTAACAAGCAAAGGAACATATCACATAACTTACTAAATATGTGTTATATGCATAGCTAAGCCGAATAAGATAACATAACCACAAAACGTTATATACATATCGACATAACGTTTAACTATCAACTATTAGTCCAATAGTTTCTCTTCAAGTCCTTAACGTGTAGAGCGAGAGAGAGAGAGAGAGACAGAGAGGGAGAGAGACAGAGAGAGAGAGAGAGATAAGGAGAGAGAAAATATTGAGAATTTTAACATATTTTCTTACCTCCTTTCCGTAAACCAAATTTGCAAAAAGGCTTTGATCCGTCTTCAAATACACACGTATTACAAACAAAATTTTATTAATAAATTTCAATACAGTGTAAATGGCGATCAGTCGGCTTAGAATGCGGCAAACAACGACAAGCTTGGTGATCCGCTTCTTGACAAAACATCATTAACTTACTTCTTTACTTCATTTGCTTCTGTTTTTTTTTTTTTTTGTTTTATGTACTCTTAACAGCAATGACTTCTTAAGTGTTATCTACTTAACGATCTGTCTCAAATAAATGCATAAATGTTTGGTAAATAGGAATTTGGAAAAATTGCACAAAAACGCAACCGAATACGCAATACTTCAATACCACAATCTTGCCACCAGACTTTACCATTTACAACTGACATAACAACATTGACAAAAAAAAAAAAAAAAAAAAAAAAAAAAAAATCAAGAAAATATAAACAATTGCGGTCTTATAAAAAAAATTGATTGCCTTGGATCGAATCTTCGATACTCGTTCGCTACAAACACGATGAAAAACATCTTAAAGTCTGCATGCTTGGCTTGGATGTAAACGTTTCATAAATTGATCGATTAAGTTAACCTTCGTCTCGAACAGTTAAATAATTCAATTCAATAGCTATTGAAACTGTCAATGTGAAATTTGTTTACACTTATTGTCTTTATGGGCGAACTAGTTTTAATTATCTCAATTTCTACGATCCTGGGAAGTTCTAGATGAGAAAATGAATTGAAAATTAAATCAAACCATAATCGAATTGTCGGATATGGTGTGCGGCAAACGTAATGATAAAATTAGCATACCATCACATTTCGGATGATTAAGAATCACAAATTAATCGGTTTGGCGTGTGGCATTACGTTAAGCCGGCAAACAAGTTAACAAACAAACAGGCAACAGTAATTGTTTTATTTTTCTATTAAATATTAAAATTCTCTGACCTGATAATAAAACGTAGATGACAAAACTGCTCAGGCAAAAATAAAAAAAAAAAACATGTCTAGAAGTCATGCTAGATTAATTTAAAAATCGCTCAACAACTATCTTCATCTTAAAGCCGGTCTTAATTACAATCATACATTAACGTGGTAACGTTATCGATTTGTATAAGTGAGACATGTGTGAACCAAAAAAAGATTTCACAAGTCACACGTTGTTATTGCGCTCGTCGTTCTATTTGATTTTGTAAAACTACTCTTCATCATGAAACAAGTAGGTAGAGTCCTTTGTACCCGACATAAGCTGAAAGCAAAATATTGCTGCTAATCAATAATAAATAAACCTTGAGTTAGTAAACCGTTCACAATTAAATATTGATTGTATTTATAAAGTAACGCAAAAGTTAACTCAAGTCTAAAAGGAACAATAAATTCCAAGTTTTGTGGAATTGAAAGATCTTTATACCAAAGATTACCGCATGCTGTCATAATCTCTTCTCGCTCTCAGCCATGCGAAACCAAAACTTCGCAAAGTTTCATATATATATATATATATATATATATATTCATGATCAACGTGGAATTCTGTACTGTTTTAGCTATGCTTTTCCGTGCATCCCTGCATTTTTATACGCTGTATATGTATATGTATATACATCAGCTTGGATAGAGAATAAAGCGAACGATTGCGGCCCTTGTAAGACGGCCTTCCGTGCTAGTTTCTTAAAGAATTTACGTTTATTGTTTCTCTGAATTACGTTGTTCCATTTATTTGCTAGTACGCTCAACTAGCAGTAAATAAATTACAATAAATTTCAAATCCTATTCAATTTCAAGCTTTACACGTAATCAGCGATACGAAGAGATAGACGATATGTGGTGGCTATCTGACGACAGTTGGAAAGATCAATGAAACTAAAGGATGTGTCATGATGAACAATCATTACTCAAAGTTGTGTTGTCTTCTTGTTGTCAATTTAGTGTTATAGTTGGGTTGTCGTATTTAATTTCAACTAATAGTATTATGTCTTTAAAAAAAAAAAAAAACCGGTCGATATTGTCGCCTGTCTCTCTCTCTCTCTCTCTCTCTCTCTCTCTCTCTCTCTCTCTCTCTCTCTCTCTCTCTCCATTGTTGTGTTGGCTTATGAATCATAATAGATCCCTAAATGTCTTCTCATAGCGATTGCATAAACATGTAGCCTTGATAAAAGATATATAAAAATATGTGATATCATAAAATAAACATATGCACAATATATATTTACAATAAAAAAAAAAAAAAAAACAATTTTTATAAATGATACGCAAGAAAATCCTTTTCTACATCTCTCCGAACGAGTACATAGCTGGTTTACTTTAGCATAATCACCATAGATACTTAAGACTTACTCAACTCATATTTGACATGATCATATGCGATTTTTCGCTGGCAAACTGGTATACTTTATAAAAGCTAATGATATACTTGACCTTAACAAACTGAACCATTAATAGAAAAACGAGCGAAAATTTTCGATATCAAGAAGAAAATCCGTATACAACTTTGACTTGTCCTAATTGTTAAAAAAAAAAAAAAAAAAAAAAAAAAAATGTTATAAATCCATTACCTTCGGATCGAATCTTGAAGTTACGCTACATCATGAATTTCTGTTTAACAGGAAGGACGATTACTTTTAATGATCGTAATAAATATTTGACCCAAATTTCATAATCATAGCAAATATATTATAAGTAAGAATTTATTCACTAAACAATATTTATTAAGACTATCAAGTTCGTAATTAGCTTCAAAGTATTTAGAAGCGTATCCGAGCCTTTCTTGCATATCAAAACCGCTTCCAGTTTCACTTGTCAGTATCACACCGTATGGTTGAGATTAATGAAGAAAGACAGATAGATATATCAGCGCACATACATAGGAAAGAACGAATGGGCAAATCAGGGAATAAGAGCAAAGAGGGTAAACGGAGTGCAAGAAGAAGACCAGTTGAATGTTCGGAAACATGCGAATGGATGATTGAACGGACGAGTAGGAGGACAACGAACAACTTGAGCTTTGAGCAAACGGATAGGAAAGCGGAATGGCTGATGAAGAGGCGAATAGAAGAAAGGACTGACGGGAAAATGAAAGAATGAGCCTATTTACCGGCCAGTTAAAGGACATACGGACTGAAGAGCGAATTATTGGCTGTGGGACGGACGCGATGATGGAGCGATAGATAAGCGAACAAGAGTATTATAATATTTACGAAACGTATGTTGACATGTTGCAGAAATCTAAACAAAACTGTATCCGTATTTTAAGGAAACAAGTAAAAAGACTCTAGTAAGCCACGAGCCAACATTAAGTACCCTACACCGCTACGCTTAATACAGTTATTTTTATAACGACTTTTGAAAACAGGGCATTATATGAAAAGCGGCGGAAACTATGCTCCGTTTCACCATTGAACCAGTTCGAGTAGGGTTTCTCCTCAGGCCAACATATGTCGTTGTATCAAATTTCGAAAAGAGAAGTTTAAATAAATGCAAAAAATGATTGTGAATCGATCGGTATAATAAGCATTGGATCCACCTCAACTCGATCGATTTTTTTCGTTTTTATGCGGGCCTAGTATTACCCATAGCATACACATGGAAATTTTTATTCTTACACTTATCGTGAGTTAAGAGCAGTGATCAAAATAGATGAGCTGTTATCATTTGATGTTCTACCGCAGGCGTATTAGGGTGTAGACTGCTCGCGCAAGCACTTTCGATATATTTTTATAATTTGCAATCGATTTCTGATATATATCTTCATTTGTATTATAATTTTGCTTTTATTACAATTACTAGAAAGTATTCGAAATTTTACTTCGAAGAGTTACAATCTTTTCATTTTCATAAACTCGTATGAGTCTTGATTTAAAATTTTTTTTATCCGATGATAGTCGTAAGAAGAAGAATTTGCTAATTTATCTAATAAGTTTAAAGATAAAATATGCAGTGAATCGTGTAGCCCTTATGTGATATTTTTCGTGTTTTATGAAATATAATTTTTGCTTTAAATTATTTGATGAAAACTTGCAATAAATTTGTTTGTTTTTCTTTTCTTTTTTTTTTTTTTTTTTTTTTTTTATAAAAGAAAACAAAAAAAAAAAAAATATTTAAACCAAATTTATTTTTTTTTATATTTTCATTTTTTTTTTTTTTTTTTTTTTTCCTTATCGCACGTGGATCCCCTTCCCTATAGATGCAATAGAGCTAATCACTTGCTAACCAAATAATTGCTGCTGCTTATTACAATATATAGACGTAGAGTCAAGGCAAACTTAGATACACACGCACACCCGTCAATATACATATATATACATATATATATATTTATATACACACATATATATATATATATATATATATATATTTATATAATATTTATATATATATATATAACTATAAAGCAGCAGCCGCAATGAGGCCTTTTATCTTAGTTATTGCTTGGGTGTGTAGTGTCCTTACGTTTGTTAGGGCGATACCCTTACCCACAGCAGAAAATAATCAGGAATTGGATATGTTGCAGATTCCGCTTCCAAATGGCAAGGTAAGCAAATCAACCATATACCATGCGAATAAGCTAACAAACTAATCACTAACAAATAAATGACTAAATTATTATGTAAACATAAATTGAAAATAATATCTGTCTTTATCTATATATTTACATATATATACATTTTTGTATGCATATTTAATGTTCAAAAGGCAGACATACATGCATACATTTTAGGTTTTTCAACATTTTAGCATTGAACTCGCGCTTAATACAATTCCTAATTTTATATTAATTTGAGTCATCGTTAAATTGAAAAATAAATACTTCCTTTTAAGTATCTAATAACAAAAAATGTAGGTCTTTGGATTTGCGTGTCTCTGCGCAAACACTCATAGACATACTTTTTTCTTGTTTTTTTTTTTTTTTTTTTTTGTATGAGCGCAATGAAGGCTTGCAAACAGACAAACCAGTTCCTACTTTAAAAAATTGATAGTTAAGTAAATTTTCCGAATAATCGAAAGTACTTTTCCAACCAGTAAAAAAAAAAAAAAAAAACAAAAAAAAGAAAAAGAAAAAAACGTATAAGCATAAAGCTTTTTAAGCTTACAGCTGCTGACTATTTATTAGCGCACCGAAGCCGGTTTGCTTTTTCTACACAAGGAAAAAAAACGAAACAAAAAAAAAAAACAACAACACTTAACGCCACACTTAAAATCCACCTCCTGTAGTTATGAGCAAACCTCTGACATACAGAGGTTTTTTTCTTTTTTTTTCTTGTTTCCTTACTCTCGTTTGTATGTATTTAGTTACATACAATTGTTACATATTATTGTTATTGTCACGTCACTTTATCAATGCATTTAACATAAAACATATTAAGTAATTCAAAAAATATTAGACGTATAACATTACGGTTCTCCTAAAAAAAAAGGTTGTCGCGATGCATGGCTTATACATGCATTTGTATCGTGACCTTGTAAAGGCTTAATACTTTTTTTAACTAATTTATTAGAAGGCATTATAACAAAGCTTTTCGATATTTCATTTATGTCTTTTGTTATATTCTCAACCAATTGCACTTTGACTAATTCTTTTATATATAGTATATAAAGACATGTGATTGATTGTAAAGAAAAAGATTCGACAATTAATAAAAAATACAAAGTGCAAATAAAAACAACTATTAATCTTATAATTAAATAAAAGACAATTTAAAGGTATTGATGGAACAACAAAGCCCATACATTTGCGTCTTCTGAATCGGTTAACTGACGAGTTTAGTTTTCAAAAAAAAAAAATAAATAAAAAAATCTTTCACACATACGCGCGATGCGTAATCAAAATCAAGCGATAATCGAAGGCAGAAGGAAGAAAAAATTATTACATTATTTGAACACGCATTGTTCTTGAAAATCTTGATATTCTTCTAAGAATTAAATAAAAATTCCATAAAAAGAAAAAAATTAATGTAAAACTAGTTGATCACCCAAAATAGACTGACTACCCTTCAAACATGGAGCCTTAGTCATGTCATTTCTTAAAGATTTCTTCTTTTTTTTTTTTTTTTAAGCAGTCGAAATGTATTTTGCAATACATTTGCTTTTAGCGATGTATCGTACCGAACGTCCCACTAAATGATACTTGTATCTCATCTTTGAAGTTTTTATGTAATAATTTTTTTTTTTTTTACTGATTTCACCCAACATAGAAAGGTACTCGTCGAACGCATCGAAATAACGATTTGGATTGATGTGTGTAGACGTCGTGTCCAGTTAACCTATTAAGAATTATGGATCGTGCATATATGACCTTTTAAAAATATATGAATGGACGGACAGACACACTCGAACGCGACATATCGACTTTTAATTTTTCGAATGTGCGCAAATGCAATGATAAAGTAAATATACTTTTATTTTTTCAGTAATGATTATAACAATGTTTACAGTCAAGTTGAGATGATAATTGCGAGTAATTACTTTGCAAATAAACTAAATTTTCTAATTTTTTAATTTCTAAGAAAATCAATTAACGCGCTGTGAATGAAATTAACAAATGACAAATATTAAAAATAATTAAGAAGAAGAATGACCGTAGTTTTAAAAGAGAGACAGGCTCTCTTAGATTTCGAAGAGTCATTATTTTCACGAATGGGAAAATCCTTGCGTTGTGAAAATGAAATGAATTTTTTTTTTTTTACAAATTATTTCAAAGTAACGCTGGACATGTTGGACAAATGCAAGCGAACTATGACACACAATCGGTTCAGTGTAATGAAACGTTAAATAAAGATGCGGCCAGCACGATAGACTTGAATTTGCATTGCCGGCAACCGGTAACCAAAATAATTGTACCCGACCCCCCCTCTTTCCGCACGAAATTTCGCCGCGATCACGTTTATATCTCTCCAAATGCATTTGTTAATATAACTCTTTGGCTATATAGTATTAAGCTTGCGCTTCTTTATTATGCTTTGTTAGTTTATGTGTAATCATGATAATGCGCTATTATCGCTTACATGCACGTAGGGCTGCAGTCATGCGATAGCATAGTTAGACTTACGTAACGGACTGTCTTCCACATTGCATTAATATATGGCTGCAATACTGTAGAAAATGAAATTCCGTAAAATATTTAGAAAGTAAAAAAAACGACGTTTTGTCTGTCGCTGCCGTCAATTTGGAAACGCCTTAAATAGAGAAAATCCTACGGGTTAAAGGATTGACAGAAGTGCAGAATGAAATGTGACATCCGTGACTTGTTTGTTTGGTTGAAGCAAGAAGGGTTGAAGTGATCGATGAAAAAAGTCGATCGAATGCAGACGATCTCGATAGAGCGAAATGTTGTGAAAAAGTTCAAACTCTACTCTCTGCAAATACGTTTTTACAACTTCTTGTAATGAATACCAAGTTCTTTCGGAATGACTACGCGACGCAGTTCTCATCAATTCAAACCACTCAAAGTTGATGCCTTGCATACCAGCGGATGTGGAATTTGTAGCGGTTTGTCTCAGAAATCAATGCAAAAATCTTGTTGCGTCTCCTTCGACTTTAATCTATCACTGGCGTCTTAGCAAACAAAAAAGAAAAAGGTTAGAAGTCTGGTTCTGTATCATTCGAATAACACGGTAGACGTGACGTATACTTTGACAGTGTCTTCGAGGGACTTGGAATTGGAAATGTAGTGTTTCCTGACTGCGATAAGGTAATTATCCAGGTTCCTATCCCTATCTAGTAAATCTATATAAATCTCCTTGAATTCTCTGTCAAAATCAAATGCACTCTGTGTTAAACTTTCAGAAAACTAATATTTCTCTTCTGAAGAGATGCTTAGTCAACCATGTAAATGTTGAAGAGAAATTAAAACCGTTCCTTAACAGATTTTATAACATTTTACATAGGTCTACGGCTATTACTGTTCCTATAAAGCAATTTTCGCTTCGTAGGAATGAAGTCCTCATATACAGCAAGTTTGGCGAGTATTCCTTCATCCAAGTTGAGAATCTGAGAATCTGAGAAATCCTTCTTTTCTTACAAAACATTTACTGATCATCGTCAAGCCGATGTGATCTATATCGATCGTAATAAAACGTTCGATACGATTCGTCACAGTTTGTTAATTTTGAAACTTGATTTAATGGAATTTTTTTCCTTATTTTCCTGGAATGGATTGCTTCGTCTTTAACGCATAGACTTCATAATATTTAATTTTCAGCCGTCACATCGAAAGATATTGTTGTCTGCTCGGAAGTTCCTCAAGGCAGCCACCGGGATTCTTTCCTTTTTGCTTTATATTTTAATGATGATGAATTCAAATGTTCTTACGTGTCCGAACGATGTCAAATTGTTTCGATCATTTAAAGTGTCTGAAAATATCCGCGTCCTACACTCTAACTTAAATTTACTTAGTGAATGGTTTGTCTTTAATTGCAGGTTGCTTAATCGGACTAAATGCAAAAAAAATAACATTCGGCTGAAGTACACTTCCTACACACATTCTATTGCATTTACCAGATCCGCTTGAGCAATGTATGCTCTTGCCAATTGTGTTTTAAGCGACATATTGACCACGTAGTCGAAGAGTCTTCTTAGGATTGTGAAACCATGGCAAACGTACCAGGACACTCTTCACTAAACCTAACAGGCTAATTCTAGCATATATTTGAGTAATGTAATGGCCGTCCCAGCAGTGTTATAATGACTCTATCGAATTCGTCCAAGAACAGTCTTTACAATTCGCCCAGCGACCTCTTCGATGGCATTCAAGTCACAATTTACGATCGTATGAGCATGGGCTATGGCTTATCGAATTGCCTAGCCTTGTGAACCGGTAGTGCATTTTGGCCATAACCTTTTCAATCAAGTTACTGATTGGCGGAATTGATTCGCTAACACTTTTAAATGAAATTAACTTAAATTCTCCTTGTAGAGTTCACAGGATTTGTCCTCTGGTTAAAGTTCATTTATATAGATATAGCTACGATCTTGCTACAGGCCCATGATTATCATCAATAGAGATTTGCGCGATACACATCACTTATTCTCCTTACACGAATCATTATCTAAAATTCAAGCCGTAGTGTATAAACCGAATTAATGCATCCCTAAGTAATGTTTATATCAATACTTTTTCATGAATATATTCTTTATTTATTTAATTATTGCACATTATTTCAAGTTTCGTAACTTTAGTTTTTAAATCTCCCTTTCATTTATTTCTTTATTTTCATCATCGGAAGGTAATCTTAAGTTTATCGAACTACATGCTCATAGTACTTGTAGTTTCATATTGCATAAAATGTTCAACTAGCAAGTAATATTAATTAATATCTATTGCTATAATTACATAAATGTAAATCAAGTTGTGGCTGAATATCGAAATAGATTAAAGCTTAAATCGTTTTTCTGTAACTATAAACAATTTCTACGTTATTACAATCCAGTAATATGAATCTCATCGAAAATTATTAGAAGATGAAAAGTTATATTTCACCTTTCATTTGAAGTGAAGAATAGTTGTTGTTTTTCTTTGCATTAAATCAAATATTT